TGCAAACTGTCTGAGAAATCCTTTGAGAATGTGTGGTAGTAGGATAATGAAGTAGATAAGCTGGCTATTCCAGTTCCTGTAGCAGTAGCCATTCCTAACCCTATAAGTAGGGGTATTAGTTGTATGGCTCTGCACTGACGGACTTGAGCTTTGAGGGGTACTGATAAGGTCTGATTTCCTGGGGCAAGGCTAGTGCTGGACTTAGAAGGACTAAGGTGCAGGTGTCTGTCCAGTTAGTGGGGAGGCAGATATAGGTCGATGTTCCACATAAGAAGAATATACCTTGGCTGGGTAGACAGAACTGGTTGTGTATGTTAAAAAGTGTGTGAATTTGGTGTTTTCATTTCCCCATACTCCTAGAGTACTTGCCAAGGGAGCTTCAGTGAGCAGCTAGAAAGGGGTATCGGGAGCAAACTGAGTGGCTCCCTGTGTTGTATTTTCCCTTTAGAGAAAAAAAGTTTACAAACCTTTAGCTAGACACAGAGTGCTGATTGGTGCATTTATGATCCTTTAGCTAGACACAAAAGTTCCCCAAGTCCCCACTAGATTAGCTAGACACAGAGTGCTGATTGGTGTGTTTACAATCCTTATAGCTAGACACAAAAGTTCTCCAAAACCCCACCTGACCCAGAAGCCCAGCTAGCTTCACCTCTCACCAGCACTCGCCACAGCATTCTGTGTCACCTAGCCCGGGCACTCCAGCAGCCCAGAGGGAGCTCATCCCCTGATCAAGCCCAGCAGGTGCTGGCCAGCCACTGCCAAGTGCGGGGCCCCAAGCCCACACCCACGTGGAACCCAAACCAGCCACACGCAGCCCCGCCTCCTGCCTGCACCTCCCGCTCCACACCTCCCCATAAGCAGAGGGAGTCAGCTTCGGCCTTGGCAAGCCCCAGAGAGGGGCCCCCACAGCACAGTGGCGAGCTGAAGGGCTCATCGAGCATGACCAGAGTGGACCCCGAGGCCAAGGAGGCACCGAGAGTGAGTGAGGGCTGCTAGCACGTTGTCACCACTCAGCAACACCCATGAGTTACTGCCCCTTTCCATGGCACTGACCCAGTGACACAAAATTTACTAGAACTTCTGCATAAGTCACCCCTTAATCTGCATGCACTTAAAAATGGGTATAAATATGACTGCAAAACTGCCCTGGGGTACTACTCTCTGCCTACAGGGTAGCCCTGCTCTGCAGGAGCCATCACAAAGCTGTAACGCTGCCTCTTCAATAAAGCTGTTTCCTTCTACCTCTGGCTTGGCCTTGAATTTTTTCCTAGGCAAAGCCAAGAACCCTCACAGGCTAAGCCCCACTTTGGGGCTCGCCTGCCCTACGTCAAAAGCAATCCTGATGGCATTTTGATCTTAGACTTCTAGCCTCCAGATGTAAATTTCTGTTGTTTAAGCCCCCCAGACTGATATTTTGTTATGGGAGCCCTAGCAAACTAGCAGACCTCCTCAAATAATTTTTCAAATAACATGAGGTAACATTTATAGAATAAGTAGCCTCTTTAAACATTTTTCATTTTTAATCAGGAACCTAGAAACTCCATTGTTGACCACGGTTTAAATGTATCACAAACCAATTGTTCAGTAGCAGACCCCACACAGCCTACATATCCTTTTGGCTAAGCTGTCTCTTGTGGACACGTGCTGCCCACAAATCCCTGCAAGGCATTTCCTCACTGCTTAGGTGGACACTATCCTTTGTGATGAGACCAGTGTTCAATATAAGGTGCTGCTGTTTCCTAATTGTCCAAAAGTTGCTGCTGTTTTGCAGGGTGCCGGAGTAGGAGTGGGTTCTGTGCAGAGGTGGAGATAACGGCCCTCCCTCAAATCTGTGCCACACTGTGTCATCTTGACCCCAGATCAATGCTGTTATGTTCAGAGGCCCCCAGTGTCTCTTAAAACACTGACATCAGCTTCTGGTGCTCACTGCCAACTATGGAGGCTCAAATTCAACCCAGGGGGCTGGCTGGTGGTGGTGGTCGTGGGAGGTACATGCTAGTTCATTTCTTCTCTTCCTTTGCACTCAAACTTCCAGCTAAACTTTTTCTTCCTCCCCCAATTAAAAACTACTCTTCCCCAAATAATAGTACTCATCTGAGTCTCAGCTCAGCCAGTCTCCATGCCCCATCACTCTTATAACCAATGTGAGTCACCGAAAGGCTGTTGTTAGTGTGGGAAAATGGGAATGGGATTTCATTTTTAACTTATCCTCAAGGGCATGGATACATCTGAGATTAATTTTTTGTGTTGTTTTCAACAATGCTTTTTAAATATTGTTCTTGAAATAATATCAAACTCTAGAAGAGCTGCAAGAATAGTACAAACAACTCTCATATACACTTTAGTCAAATACATCAACTAGAAAAACATTTTGCCACATGTCGTTTATTACTTCCGACCTATCTATAGGTCTATGTATCTATGTGTCATATATATGCACATGTCTGCATATATATGTATATTTTTCCAGATTCTTTTGAGATTTAGTTGCAGAAATCATACTTATTTACCCTCAAATGCTTCAAAATCTGTTTCCTAAGAACAGGAATATTCTCTTACACAATTATGAAATTCAGAAAGTTTAACATTGACAGAATGCTATTACCTAGTACACAGTCCAAATTTAGAATTTGCCAGTTGTCCTAGTTATGCGAAAATGTCCTGTCCCTCCCCTTCTGACCTCCAGGATCTAATTGGAGGTCACGTATTACACTGAATTGTCATGCCACTTCAATCTCCTTTAACCGCTGTCTTCCATGACATCTACACTTTTGAAGATGCCGGTTTTGCAAATGTTCTTCAATTTGAGTTTATTTTTGACTATCAGATTCAGGCTATGTGTTTTGGGCATAATTAGAACTTTAGACTTACAATACTATTGTTGCAATTCCTGCCTCAAAGAAAAAAAATGCATTGAAGAGTTATTATACCCTTCCCACAGACTCCCATTGCTTCAAACACAGCTAGTTGAAAGGAACTCATTTGAGAAACGAATTCACTTGGAGGTATTAGTTGTTCCACATTATCCTTCTAATTCAATAAACCTGCTAGGAATCTCTGTATTTAAAAAGCAAACTTATGAATCCAAAGGAATGATGCAAATTTTCCTAAGTCACAAAAGCATATACTTCCTTCCCCACAAATAAGCCTTTTGCACTCCTAGGCCTATACTTTTAATTGCAGGTGTGGGCTGCTTCTCATATTCTATGCGTGTTCCAGGGTGAAGAATAATGAAATTTTACCTACAGCTATGTTGAAATGGCTCTTACCCTGAAACTCTATAGGAATAGCCTGCCTTCTATAATAGATACAGTGATTAATGCATTGAAGCTGTTCATCCATCATTAGTTTGTCTTAGTTTACCTGAGGCTTACATATTACTTAGCAAGTCCTTCAAGGACTAGACTTCAGAACGATTAAATTTTGAATTGCAAAAGTCCTAACATTTGGGAAGAGAAAGCCCAGTCAAAGGCAGGTTAGTTTTTGGCCACTCTGTAAACATGGCTTCCTGTTTATGCCACTTATCTTGCCTGACACCGAGTACCTAGGTGAGTGGTGACATGCCAGAATAAAGGAGGAGAGTCAGAAGGGGAGGTGGGTTTCAAATACAAACCTTTATCTGTCTTCAAGTTTGCCCGAAGCTGGCCCTTTTCTGGTATGTCCCCATCAACCAAAAAAAGAGAGCAGGTAGAGTTTATTTCAAAATATAGTTTTGTTTTGTTTTTCTGATGACATTTTCAAGTAGGTTTTTATTGAAGCCTGTAAATTTGAAGCAAAAATCTGTTCTTAAAATGAATATTTTCTAGAACGTGAATTAAATAGTTTTTTTTTTTTTCTTTTTTGACCATTTTAACAAAGCAAAGAAACATAGCATGATGATTTTATCTCTTTTTTCTTTTTCAGGGCAACCATTCCCAAAGTCCTTTCATGTCTTCATGCTGATTTTTTTTTTTTTTCTGTTTTTTTTTTAGCAGCAGTAGTAGCAGCAACTTTTGCACATAGATCTTGGGAGGAAAAAGTGCAAGCCACTGACCACATATGCAGAACTAAAGTTCTTATGTTACAGGCAAGATAAGTGGCATAAACAGGAAGCTGTGTTTTACAGAGTGGCCAAAACAAATAACCAATGAATGCAATCTGTGGGATTTGTTTCTCATATTGCACCCTGAGAATATAAGGTTCCAAGGGTTGAGTGAACTTATGTCTGTAGAGTTCTAGAGGTACCAGAATATTCTTGTAGCGGTTTAATCAGGCTTTTTGAACCTGGAATTATGTTAAAAGTTTGAGGGGAAGTTTATCATTTTAGTCAGCATCTATGTAATGATAATGGTAAACAGTGAGAAAATTATCAAATTAATTTGCATCAGTTGAAGTCAACATTTAAGTAAATTTAGATACCATAGTTTAAAAGTAATTATTTGGGGCTGGGCACAGTGGCTCACGCCTGCAATCCCAGTACTCTGGGAGGCCGAGATGGGTGGATCACCTGAGGTCAGGAGTTCAAGACTAGCCTGGCCAACATGGTGAAACCCTGTCTCTACTAAAAATACAAAAAATTAGCCAGGTGTGGTAGCGGGCATCTATAATCCCATCTACTTGGGAGGTTGAGGCAGGAGAATCGCTTGAACCCGGGAGGCAGAGGTTGCAGTGAGGCGAGACAGCACCACTACATTCCAGCCTGGGCAACAAGAATGAAACTCTATCTCCAAGAAAATAATAATAATTATTATTTGGGTTAGACAAGTCAAGTTTATATCTTTAAAGTATTATCTACAGTCAGACTCTCCATAACTTTTTAATTGCTTTAAGCTTTATAATTTTTTTTTAAAGTTTACTTTGTCATTGCACCTTGCTCTGTACTTTTTCCAATGAGTATAAAAACGGTGTCATCAGTGTCTTCATGTGGTTTATAATGATCTCAATTTATTTAAATGCTGTTTAGAGGAGGAGATGGATTCTTTCAGCATCTCAGTATGGATAGGAATTACTAGAGCTACCCATTTTAAGATTTTATTTGCATAAATATCCTGTGACCATAAGAAGTTGAGGATAAAAATAACGTGGTTATTGTCCAATTTTGCAAACATCAATAACCTGTGATCCAGTATCTTCACTGCTGACAAAGAGAACAGTTTCTAGTCAGTGGTGTTTAGGATATTTAATCTTCAGATCCAATAGTTAGTTTGGAAAGATAAAACGGAAATTTTTTTGTTGCTTTTTCTGAAGGATTGGCTTTTTTTGCTTCCATATGTTTGGGTTTCTCTTCCCTCTCAGCTTTCCTCAGATGAGCTTCCCCTCTGGAGTCTTCTTCTGGGGAAATATCTATAAGGAGTAAGGCGACGGTGTGGCCAATAAAATGGCTGGAATGGAAAATGGTGGTTACACCTTGAAGGCAGGAAAGGTCTGTTTGGAAACCTAAAATAGATTCTGGGCCTTCGTGGAAAAAAATGGAAGGGACACCTAGGTGTCTTTGTGATGGGCTGGACCCTTGTGACCGGACTCCTCGTGGCAGGTGGAGGGGTGAGTGTAAAGATCTGGCAGTCGGTAGGGTTTGCGTTATTTTGTGAGTCTCCAGGAGGGGTAAATACCTCTTCTTGTCCTGTGGAGAGGAAAACGCAAGTCAGGAAACAGGTCTGGTAACAGAAGCAGAAGGGTGGTTTAGAGTGGTGGCAGAGGAAAAAATGGAAAGAGAGAATTACAGAAATCTCAATGTGTATTTGAAAGAACTGCCAACGTTCAATGAAATGAAACACAGACACACCTGATGACCCAGCATTTCCACTGTGAGGAATTTACCCAGGAGAAATGAATGTTTATGTCTATAAAAAGACTCGTTCAGGAGTGTTCACAGTAGCATTATTCATAATAACCTAAATGGAAATAATCTAAGTGTCCATCAACAGAGGAATGCATGAAGAAACTGTGTATGTTCATACAATGAAATAGTACTCAGCAGTGAAAAGGAAGAACTACTAATACCCACAACGTGGATACAGCCCATGAATGTTGAGCGATACAAGTTAGACACAAAAGTGTACATACTGTTCAACTCCCTTTATATGAAGTTCAAGAGCAAGCAAAACTAATCTACAGTTAAAAAAAAGTCAAAGTAATAATTCAGCTTAGGGCAAGGATAGGTATTTTTTAGCAGAAAGTGTAGCCAGGGAACTCTTTAGAAATGTTTCATATCTTGATCTGGGTGGTTGTTACATAGATATGGTTATCTATATATCTATATGTATACACACAGGTGTACACACACATATATAATTTGTATATAAACACACATATATGTGTACATACATATGTTTGTACACATACGCATGTTTATATGTAGCCATATGTAAAATGTGATCAAGCTGTACTTTTAAAATGTGTGAATTTTGGCCGGGTGCGGTGGCTCAGGCCTGTAATCCCAGGACTTTGGGAGGCTCAGGCAGGCAGATCACGAGGTCAGGAGATCGAGACCATCCTGGCTAACATGGTGAAACCCTGTCTCTACTAAAAATACAAAAAAATTAGCCGAGCGTGGCGGCGGGTGCCTGTAGTCCCAGTTACTGGGGAGGCTGAGGCAAGAGAATGGCGTGAACCCGGGAGGCAGAGCTTGCAGTGAGCCGAGATTGTGCCACTGCACTCCAGCCTGGGTGATAGAGTGAGACTCCATCTAAAAAAAAAAAAAAGGATTTTATTGCATGTAAATTACAACTAAATAAAGAAAATTCAGTAGAAAAAAGGAACTTAATGTTAAGAAAATCAAAACAACTGCCCCCAAAGGCCATTAATCCAAAAGTTCTGCTTCAACTGCCCAAGCAGTGAAATAATTTCCTAGGGGAAGGGAGGGGCCATCTACAAGCAGCAGGAGAAAGAGCACTGAGAACCAGGATGCAATTATCTTTTCAGAAGAAATTTGGATCAAACTCAAGTGTCATAGTCTTCCTTGACTGTATCATTGAATCAAATTGGCTATGAAAAAGTAATCTTTTCTTTAGAAAATTGTTCCTTCACTCCCTTAGAGGCTTACATATACTGCCTGGAAAGGGTTGCCCGTGTGAATGATGATAAAATGAACTTCCCCTGTAATCCCAGCACTTTGGGAGGCTTACGTGCGTAGATCACCTGAGGTCAGGAGTTCGAGACCAGCCTGACCAAAATGGAGAAACCCCGTCTCTACTAAAAGTACAAAAATTAGCCAGGCACGATGGCACATGCCTGTAATCCCAGCTACTTGGGAGGCTGAGGCAGGAGAACTGCTTGAACCTGGGAGGCGGAGGTTGCTGTGAGCTGATATCATGCCATTGCACTCCAGCCTGGACAACAAGAGCCAAACTCTGTCTCAAAAAAAGAAGAACTTCTCACAGGAAGTTGAGAGTACTGAGGCACTTACCACCTCCCCACAAGGACTAGATTCCCCTCTCCTCTGGGACAGTTTAATTCAGGTTTCTTGGCTGTATTGGATATGCTTGTTATTTGCCTATGTCCGTAGTCCCTTCTACATATTCTGTTTCACCCATGAACCCTGGAAATGTCAGTTGTCAGTCCTATACACCTTCTGGTTATGGCTGATTGGACCACCAACTGACATTCAACTCATTCATTGGCTGGTCAGTGACCAATCAGATTCTCACTTGAGAATTGAGTTACAGTGGAAGACGTCAGTGGAAGGTGTAGGGCAGGGGCTGGAGTGTCAGGTTTTGGCCTTCGGAATGTTGAGAATGCAGAGAAGCCAGTCTGCACATAGAAGCAGCAAAATAGGGAAGGCCTCTGGGATAGAAGAGACCAGAGGCCTTGTGGTAACAGAGTGATGTTGGGAGCAGCGGCCTTGGTTTTTTTTTTTTTTTTTTTTGATGGAGTCTCCATCTGTTGCCCAGGCTTGAGTGCAGTGGTGCGATCTCGGCTCACTGCAGCCTCCACCTCCTGGATTCAAGCGATTTTCCTGTGCCAGCCTCTTGAGTAGCTGGGATTACGGGCGCCCACCACCACACCCAGCTAATTTTTGTATTTTTAGTAGAGATGGGGTGTCGCCATGTTGGCCAGGCTGGTCTCGAACTCCTGACTTCAAGTGATCCACTTGCCTCGGACCTCTCAAAGTGCTGGGATTATAGTCATGAGCCACCATGGCCGGCCAGTTTTTGGCTTTTCAGGGAACCCTAGCTATTCTTAAGTTTCCTGGAGATATCTTTATAATAATCAATTCATCTCCAGCTCTACTTGTTCGTAAAGCTAGCTTGAATGGGTGTCTGTTCCTCGAACAAAATGCCAACCCCTTCTCCCACAGCTGCTCAGGGTACATTGAAATTCTGTAACTGAAACTAGATTGAGACACTTTACAGAAAATGACCAAATCCCACATTAGTCGCTTTTTTTCTGGTAAGTTCTGAACCTTACAGGAAGACATTCTGCCAAGAATCCAGTTGCTAGGAGAGAAATTAGCCTTTGATTTTCTTTTCTTTTTTTTTGAGATGGAGTCTCGCTCTGTCGCCCAGCCTGGAGTGCAGTGGCGCGATCGGCTCACTGCAAGCTCCGCCTCCTGGGTTCACGCCATTCTCCTGCTTCAGCCTCCCGAGTAACTGCGACTACAGGCGCGTGCGGCCACGTCCGGCTAATTTTCTTCTTTTTTTCTTTATATTTTTAGTAGAGACGGGGTTTCACCATGTTAGCCAGGATGGTCTTGATCTTCTGACCTCGTAATCCATCTGCTTCGGCCCTCCCAAAGTGCTGGGATTACAGGCCTGAGCCACTGCGCCCGGCCCAGCTGGCCTCTGTTTTAAGCCCCATCTTGACATTTTGCTGTCAGCTCAGGCTTAAGGAGGCCTTGAGCTTTGCCACTAGGTTAACTATGCTCCAGCTGTTAAAAACCACCCACCCACTCGCCTCTTGTGCTCATCTCATTTCTAGAAACCTGAAGCTACTCTAAATCCTCCTCTAACAGTTGGGTTTCAGAGCCTGCAAGGCAGGTTTTCTCTGACTCTGGGATGTCCAGTAGTGTTCAGTGCTCTCTTTTTCTGGGAATTTTCAAGGGTGTAAGATCAAGGTATAAGCTTGCTTCAATCACTTACCCAGGAATGTGGGCAGGACCACATAAAACCACATTCTTCCAAACAAACTAGACCTATGGTGATTCTATTGGGTCACCAGTTAGCTAGCACAAGTGTCCTAAAATGTGGGAGTAATAGTGATTGGTGTGGGAACCTGTCACATCTTACAAAGTTATGGCCACACATCTGAGAAAGTGGGTTGATGCCATCTGTGGTCTCTGATGTCAGCTGATCTAACACTGCTCATTAATTCTTTTATCTTTGTTCTTCTCTGTTCCTTATCTTCTAAACCTTTGCTACCTCCTCAAATTTCCCTCAAAATTTTCATTCTTCATTCATCTGAAGAATTTGCTTTGAAACGCTCTCTACCTCTCTAAGTGGATTTATCAGCTTCATATTCCAGAGAGAAAGCTGAGGTAATCTGCCATGAACTTCTTTGGTTCCTCCTCCTCTCTCTTTAAAGTCTGTACACCTACTGATTCTGCTTCTCCCCCTATTTAATCCGTTGGACTGTAACCCTGCCTCCTCCACTCTCCAAAAGCTACTTTGGCAAAAGTCATCAATTGTCCTGGGCTTCTGAAAAGGTGGTTGCAGATGCCTAGAGCACCATTTCCTGTACTCTTTGCCTGGCTGACTCCTATTCAATTTCAAGTCTCTCTCTCTCTTTTTTGTCAGGGAGGCCTTTCCTACCCAGAAGCTTGGTTAAAACCCTTTGCAACATACTTTCGTAGCACCCTGTGAGTCCACTTTCATCATACTCTTCAGCTGTGTGATTATTATTTGGTGGTTACATGTCTACTCCACTGAAAGATCTACGTGACAGTCTTGTAGACTGCTGCCTCCTCGTCCCTAGCACAGCGTCTCCAGTACAATTGAATTGATTGAGAGAAATCCCAGTTTCTATAATTGCAAAGTTACCAAGTTCCTACTTCTCAGCAGTAGTGTGTTGAATAATAAGCAAATATTTCCCCTTATGTAACATACTGACATGCTCTCAAAGGCACTGGATGTCAAAGATGAGAGCTCTTCTGCAAGCTTAATAAGACCAAAGTAGGTCAAATATTTAAATGCAGATTAAAAACATTTTGAGAGGCAGAACAGCAAAGTGTTTAAAAGGATAGGCTCTAGAGCCAGGCTCCTTGAGCTCTGCCATTTAATAACTGGGTGAACACAGATAGATTCCTTAACCTCTCTGAGTCTCATTTTCCTCCTTTGTAAAATGAAGAAAATAATACTATACATCTCATCATCTCTTTGTGAGTGTTATCGGAAACAAAGTATATAAAGTGCTGAGAACATTGCTGGATGTACAGTCTGCACTTAATAAGTGTTAGCTACGGTTACTAATCTTGAATTTTGTAGAAACATTCTGTTAGCCTGAGCCCCATTTTCTTAGGCCCATAACATTTGCGCATTAAAGATAGGGCTATTGGGGACACATGTTATTAGAATAGGACCTCCCCAGTGACAGGGACTGTTGACTCTTGGTTACTGTCCGTGTCTCCAGCACCTAGAATAGTCCCTGGCTTATAGTGGTACTCAGTAAATACTTGATGAATTAAATAGTCAGGCTGACCTTGAATGTTCCTCTCTGTATATTTTTGTGGAGTTTAGTGAGTATTTAATTTCAATCCCAGAAAATCTGTAATAATAATTTATATTAAAAAATGGCCAGGCGTGGAGGCTCGCACTTATAATCCCAGCACTTTGAGAGGCCAAGCCAGGCAGATCACTTAAGGTCAGGAGTTCAAGACCAGCTTGGCCAACATGGTGAAACCTCATCTCTACTAAAAATACAAAAAGTAGCCGGGCATGGCGGCGGACACTTGTAATCCCAGCTACTCCGGAGGCTGAGTCAGGAGAATCATTTGAACCCAGGAGGTGGAGGTTGCAGTGAACTGAGATGGTGCCACTGTACGCACTCCAGCCTGGGCAATAGAGGGAGACTCTGTCTCAAACAAACAAACAAACAAAAAAATAGAGTATAATAGAAGAAACAAAGCAAAATATTGCTTGGAATTTGAATATCAGTTTTAAGGTGGTTTATTATAGTCTAGACATGAAATTCATAGCATACCAACAACTACTTTAAAAACAAGTACTTTTTAAAAAAAAGGTAATGATGAAATACCTTTTTTTTATAATTACCTATACTCTGTGGTTATTTGGGCAGACAAAGCTGGCTTGCAGTGAACTATACTGATTTTAAGAGAAGTCAGCTTTCTACTTGAAGTTTAAGTGTGCAGTTCTTCCCTTACATGGCTCATGGAGTCTTAGAAAAATTCTCATGTACTTTCAGACTTGAGTGAGAAAGAAAAATAAGTTCTAAGATGGATTTACTCACAATAACTGCAAAACTCAATTTATTTTGTAGACTCAGAGAGTGACTATCTTGGTCAAATCTCTGATTTCACAGATAAAATATCAAAGCCTAGAAAGTATCAGACAGGCCTCTTTCAATTCTACCCTGTGAGTCAAGTCGCTTCAACAAGGTACAGGTTACCACATTAGGGGCTGTGGCAAATGCAGAGATGATTAAGATTAAAAGCCTGAGCTCAAGGAGTGGGCAGATGCTGTGAAGCCGGGGATCTGCAGTACAGAGCAGATGCCGTACGTGCGTAAGTGATGCACAAATCATCTTTGTAAGAAGTCAAAGGTGTCAGAAAGAGAAATTGCAATTTTTAAATGATTACATCTTAACAAAGACTTTGTAAAGGCAAAATCATAGTGGCATTTAAATGTTGTGCCTTAAAGCAGAATTGCAACAAACAGAGGTGAAAGCAAGAGGAGGGAGCAGCTGTGGTTGCTGCTGTGCAGCAGTGAGAAGAGGGTGAGTTTGGAGAGCCACACATGACCTTGTTTGGCAGACCCAGGGTGTGCGTGAGTGAGCGATGAACTGGAAGCAGGGCTGCTGGGATAGAATGAAGCTACATTTGAAGGATTTCGAGGGATTGTAGGGAAACGTGAGTCAAATTCAGAAATCAAATCTGATGTTTCAATGGGTGCAACGGGTGTTTTGTTTTTTGAGACACAGTTTCACTCTTGTTTCCCAAGCTGGAGTGCAATGGCATGATCTCTGCTCACCACAACCTCCACCTCCCGGGTTCAAGCAATTCTCCTGCCTCAGTCTCCCGAGTAGCTGGGATTACAGGCATGCGCCACCACATCTGGCTAATTTTGTATTTTTAGTAGAGATGGGATTTCTCCATGTTGGTCAGGCTGGTCTCGAACTCCCGACCTCAGGTGATCTGCCCTCCTCGGACTCCCAAAGTGCTGGGATTACAGGTGTGAGCCCACTGCACCCAGCCTCAGTGGGTGTTTTTAAGATGTGAATAAAATAAATCTCTAATCTCATTATAACTTGTTTAGCTATGTGTTTACAAAGCCTCCTGAAGAGCGGTTCACTTTTTGCAGAGAAAATGGCAGGTGGCTAGTTTTGTTTTATGATGCTTCTTTTAGATGTCACTTTTAGCAGGTGAGGCTTGGGGACCTTGTCTTGGGATATGGGGGGCAGGTTTTGTTCATAATCTATGCTCTGTCCCCTGGTTGCCAGAGTACGTGCAGAGGTTGCATCAGGGGGTTCTGAGTATTCCATGACCAGCTCTGATGCCTCTCCCCCTCTCCTGTCTATTGTGAGCTCTGAGGGATGGTAACAGGGAATCTCTCTGGGGATGAGCAGGGTTTAGCTGAGCCCCTGCAAAGCCCCCTCCCCAAGACATGTGAAAGGGGCGAAGGGCTCTGTTTGACTCCTAGGTCCATTTTCCCAAAACAGCATCTAGTTTTGGAATTAAAATAAACTGAAAAAAGGTTAAATCTAGGCTCCCCAAGATTTCCTCCCCTTGTATTTCCCTCTTTTCGTCCCTTCCCCAGCCTCTTCTTTCCTTTCCCTAGGGGTTTGCAAAACAATTCTAAGGCTCAGGACACATTTTGCAGTGGGAACAAAGAAACAGAATAGGAACAGTTGAGAAATTGAATCTAATATAATCCTAAAGAAAGAAACCTGTGTCCACCTCTGTGGCACCAAAATGCAGCTCAATAGATGTGATTAATTAAGCAATGAACAAAGACTAAATACCCACCATGTGCAAATTACTATGCTGCTGGAGATAGAAAGTGGACGGTGCTGTAATTCAAAGTGGAATTGTTAGCTTTGTAACTGTAATAACTAGTATTTGTACGGCGTTTTTAGCTTGGAGAGTTTTTCACAGATGATAGCTCATTTGGTCCTTGCAAACCCCATAACGATGGATATTATTAATATTGTCACTTCACATATGAGAGTCTGATACTCAGAGATGTTAAGCGTGTCTAAAGTCACAGGGCTATTGCCGAGACGAGGACCAAGGTCTTCAGGTGACAAAATCCAACCTCCTCCTCTTTAACCACACAGGCTGATGGAAGGTGAGGTAAATATTTCCAGTTTATGGGAATGTATAATCATGGAGCCAATTTTGTCTTTTCCTACAACTTATTAATTAGTGGACCCACAGTAGAATAAAAGCAAAACCCTTACCTTCTGCCACAGTTACCGCCAACCAGCAGACCAGTAACCAGTAGGAGAAGCAGTGTCTGCGAGCCATGGCTTCTACGCTGAGCTGTCACTGTGTTGAACCTGATGTTGCTTTAAAGGGGAGTTGGTGAGTCACCAGCAGCCTGATTCAGGTAATTTGCATTTGCACAGTGGACCACAGTGATCAGGGCTTGCGGTGTGAGGGTAAGAAATCAGCAAGGAAATACCAGACAGTATTTGTCAACCAGAAGCTTCTTGGAATGACAGCCAGATATCAATCATCTCTCCTCAGAGGGGGATTTTGGACAACCACGCCTTCACCACCCTTCTAATCCCTCAAATCTTCTCCCATGTCAATGCCTTTCAGTTGTGTATATGAGTCTTCCTCTGCAAGAGAAATAAGCTGTCCAGAAATACGCAACAGTGCTTTGCTCTGTGCAGCTTACCTACTTAAAAAGCGAAACAAGAGGGAGAGGGCATTATCCGGAGGCTTCCTGACCCTGGTGGTTTGCAGTGGAGAGTTGGGGATCATTCTTAGGCCCCCAACCACGGTTTATGCTACTTCTCTACTCTGCTTTTGTCCAGGAGGCAAGGGAAGCAGAATCAGAAAACTATTTTCCCTAGTGGTCATGACGGTCACTGTCTAAACAAACATAAACATTTGGGAGAGTAACTTAGTGCGTCGTCCTTTCACGGCTCCTCCTGATTCACCATATTGCATATAAGATGGACATGACATATCTACATCCAGTTGGTTTCCTGAGGGAAAGACTTCATCAGCTGCTGGATATATGAGAGGGGATTGTCACAGGTGATTAAGAACATGGACCTGGGAGTTAGGAAAAATTCCAGTCTTTGTTCCTTTCCTTACTAGATGGGTAACTGTGGTGAGTCCCTGAGACTTGCTGAAGCCTCAGGGGCCTCATCTGTAAAATGGGACTTGTGGTACTACCCTCATAGGAATTTGTGAATTAAGGAGATGCTTTTTAAATATATATATTTTTAATTTCAATATCTTTTGGGGTACAAGTGGTTTTTGGTTACATGGATGGATTCTACAGTGGTAAATTCTGAGTTTTTTAGTGCACCTGTCACCTAAGCAGTATACACTACACCCAATATGTAGTCTTTTATCCCTCACCCCCTTCCCAACCTCCCCCACCCCTAGCCTCTAAAGTCCATTATATCATTCTGTATGTCTTTGTGTCCTCATAGCTCAGCTCCCACTTATAAGTGAGAACATGCAATATTTGGTTTTCCATTCCTGAGTTACTTAACTTGGAATAATGGCCTCCAGTTCCATCCAAGCTGTTGCAAAAGACATTATTTCATTTTTTTTTTTATGGCTGAGTGGTATTCCATGGTGTATTTCTACCACATTTTCTTTATCCACTTATTGGTCAATGGACACTTAGTTGGTTTCATATCAAGGAGTTAATTGACATACAGCTCCAACCACAGTGCCTGGCCTGTGAAAGGGAGTGTTTGTGATTGTCATTAAATTATAATAACCCCAACTGATAATTTATTCTCTTAGGAGGCTGTACTTGCCAATCAATTAATCACTGAACAGACCTCCACTTTAAGGAGAACATTTTCCTGGGTATCATATGGGAAAAAAAAAAAAAAAAAAAGAACAAACTAAACATGGTCCCTGTCTTTGAAGGACTGACAATTTAACAAGAGAGGCTGTGCAAACTGAAAATCAAAATGAATAAGGATGCAAACACTCACAGATAGAAGATGGAAAGTTCCTCAGGCTTGATGTTAGTCCGAGGCAAACTTCCAGAACAGATACTCAGATGGATGATTTGTCAGCAGTTTGAAAAGGAATCAGGAAGCATCCAGGACAAGTTGAGTTCCTTAGACTTGCCACTCATTCAATAATTCTGTATTGACTTTTATTTATTCAGTGTCAGACACTGGTCTAGGTGCTGGGGCTAAAGATAAAATTCCTGCTCTCATGGAACTTATAGTCTAGGAGACATTAAATATTAACTCAGGAGTAACAGTAAAGGGTTTTGAGTGCTAAGAGAGAGGAAAGACTGAAGGTTATGGGAGAATGAAGCAGAGAAACACAGTCTATAATTTTACATCAATAGGTCAGTATCACATATGCTACTTTGTCCCCTTCATTAGAGATACACTACAATGCCAATAGAATTAGATTCACATAATCACTTTAACCACTGCTCGGTGTTTCATTTTATAGATTTACTGTAATTTATTTAACCAAACTTTAAACTGATGGACATTTCTATTATTTCTTCTGATTCTCTTTCTTTTTTTTTTGGAGTGCTAATGAGCTTTCATCTTAAATGTTGATGAAAATAAATAACAAAAGCAAAATAACTTATTTTTTCATTCAAATCTATTGTTCCGAAATTTATAAAATAAAGGAACAAAATTTTAAAAGGAACACATTTTTTTTTTTTTTCTTTTGAGATGGAGTTTCACTCTGTTTCCCAGGCTGGAGTGCAGTGGTGCGATCTCAGCTCACGGCAATCTCTGCTTCCTGGGCTCAAACAGTTCTCGTGCCTCAGCCTCCCGGGTAGCTGGGATTACAGGGCTACTCGGGAGGCTGAGGCATGAGGGTGTGCCACCACACCCAGCTAATTTTTTTGCATTTTTGGTAGAGACAGGATTTCGCCATGTTGGCCAAGCTGGTCTCGAACGCCTGACCTCAGGTGATCTGCCCACCTTGACCTCCCAAAATGCTGGTTTACAGGCATGTGCCACTGCACCTGGCCAAGGAACACAATTTAGAAAATTTTATCAAATTCTTATTCAGCAGAAAACTAACATTTCTTTATTATTGGTGTATAGAATAACTAAGTCTCGGCATATCTTATTTCTTTGTATGTTATATATAGAGTGGAGCCAAGTGTTTTACAACACATAAAATCAATGAAACTGATGTGAAGTTTCACATTCATTTGCCAAAATCCTTATACCTTAAAAGTATGAAAATACTTCTGAAAGCTTATTTCAAATGCAGTAGTTTTGGTAAAACTATCTTTTTAGTCATATACTTTATCCACAAATCATCTAGTTGTCGACTGATCAATGAGAATCTAATGTCTATGTTTCCCAATGTCAAGAAGGCTATAAATGGCTTTGAGTCACAGTTGTTAATCCAGTGTGCTAAGGGGAAGGACCCGTGTACGTAGGCCAGTTTGTGTTAGGTCTTTTTCTCACAATGACCTTATGAGGTATTGAGAGGAGTTACATTTCTTTCCTCAAGACTGAAAGACATTAAGTGGTAAGACTGAGAGTCAGAACTGAGATTTTTCTGATTCCAAAATTCATGTTTTTTGTTCTAATTAAATATACAGTCATATGCTGTATAATGACTTCTTGTCAATGACAGATCGCATCTATGACAGTGGTTCCATAAGATTATAATGGAGCTGAAAAATTCCTATTGCCGAGTGACTTCGTAGATGCCATAAAGTCATAGCACAATACATTACTCACATGTTTGTGCTGATGATGCTGGTATACACAAACCTGCTGCACTGCTAGTCATGAAAAAAGTGTAACACTTACAGTTATGCATAGTACATAATACTTGGTAATGATAAATGACTATATTACTGGTTTATGCATTTACTATACTATAGTTTTCATTGTTATTTAAGACTGTACTCCTTCTATTTACGAAAAATAAGTGTTCTAAAATAGCTTCAGGCAGGTCCTTCAGGAAGTATTCCAGAAGAAGACATTTTTATCATAGCAGATGGCAGCTCCATGCATGTTATTGCCGCTGAAGATCTTCCAGTGGAACAAGATGTGGAGGTGGAAGACAGTGACAGTGATGATCCTACCCTGTGTAGGTCTAGGCTAATGTAAGTGTTTGTGTCTTAGTTTTTAATAAAAAAGTTTAAGTAAAAAAAAAATTTTTAGAAATAGAATAAAACTTACAGAATAACAATACAAAGAAAGTATTTTTGTACTACTGTACAATGTGTTTGTGTTTTAAGCTAAGTGTTATTATAAAAGGTCAAAAGGTTAAAATTTTTTAATTTAGGCCAGGCGCAGTGGCTCACTCCTGTAATCCTAGCACTTTGGAAGGCCGAGGCGGGCAGATCACAAGGCCAGGAGATTGAGACCATCCTGGCCAACATGCTGAAACCCCGTCTCTACTAAAAATACAAAAAATTAGCCAGGCGTGGTGGCGGGTGCCTATAATCCCAGCTACTTGGGAGGCTGAGGCAGGAGAATGGCGTGAACCCGGGAGAGGAGCTTGCAGTGAGCCGAAATTACATCACTGCACTCCAGCCTGGGTGACAGAGCGAGACTCCGTCTCAAAAAAAAAAAAAAAAAAAATTAAATTAAATAAATAAAATTTATGTGTTTATTTTTTCAGACAGAGTTTCACTCTTTTGCCCAGGCTGGAGTGCAATGATATGATCTCGGGTCAACACTGCAACTTCCACCTCCTGGGTTCAAGCAATTCTCCTGTCTCAGCCTCCAGAGTAGCTGAGATTAGAGGCATGCAACACCATGCCCAGCTAATTTTTGTATTTTTAGTAGAGATGGGGTTATACTACGTTGGTCAGACTGGTCTCGAACTCCTGACCTCGGGTGATCCATCTGCCTCGGCCTTCCAAATTGTTGGGATTATAGGCATGAGCCACTGCACCTGACCAAATTTAATGTTTCTAATTTAAAAATTTATAAAGTAAAATAGTTATAGTAAGATGAGGTTAATTTATTATGGAAGAAAAATATTTCCATAAATTTAGTATAGCCTAAGTGTGCAGTGTTTATTTTCATTTTATTTTTTATTTTTTTTTTGTTTGAGAGGGCGTCTCGCTCTGCTGCCCAGGCTGGAGTGCAGTGGTGTGATCTCGGCTCACTGCAAGCTCCGCCTCTGGGTTCACGCCATTCTCCTGCCTCAGCCTCCCGAGTAGCTGGGACTACAGGCATCTGCCACCACGCCCTGCTAATTTTTTGTATTTTTAGTAGAGACGGGGTTTCACCATGTTAGCCAGGATGGTCTCAATCTCCTGATCTCGTGATCTGCCTGCCTCGGCCTCCCAAAGTGCTGGGATTACAGGTGTGAGCCACCACGCTCAGCCTGTGTGCAGTGTTTATAAAGTCTACAGGAGTGTAATGTCCTTCACATTCACATGCCACTCATTCACTCACTGCCCTACCCAGAGCAACTTCCCATCCTGCAAGCTCCATTCATGGTAAGTACCTTACACAGGTGTACTTATTTTTTTAATCGTTTATATGGTATTTTTACTCTTCCTTTTCTATGTTTGGATACACAAACACTTACCATTGTGTTACAACTGCCTACAGTATTTAGTACAGTAACGTGCTCTACAGGTTTGTAG